CTATTTTACACGATGCCATATCTCGTTCGCTTTACTAATTTGGTGAGAGGTGCTTAACCGAGAAGTGCATCGTGTGTTTACTTCCAGCATTTATATGTAACTTCGAATAGAACGAAGTCCCTGCTGCCTCTTCTCCGCACGAATTCAAGCGCCGCGTCTGCGCTCATTCTTGTGCTCTCTTTAACTTAATAATGATTTACACATCCATGTATGTTGTCTTGCTGAGTGCGATTTCGATGCAAGATGGGATTCGAAGTATAATGCGAGAGATAGCAACGTATAACGCGAGATTAACAACGTATACACAAGTTCCAGGAAATATAGTGATAATAACAATAAAGATAATAATAGAAAAAATTATGATGACCTGATTTTGTTATAATGATGATTATAGGATAATGATGATAACAACTGGTGATATTAATGATGATAATGATGATAGGAATGAGAATAACAATAAGGATTTTTAGATAACAATAATTACAGTAATAAGTATAATGATAATAATAACAACAGCAATAACAATAATGATAACGATGATGAGATGATAACAATAATAAAAATAATGGACTGAACAATAATGATAATAGTGGATAATAATAACAGTGATAATAACAAAATAATAATGATTATTGTAATGATGATAACAATGATAACATTACTAATGACAATAATGAAGATAATTATGATAATGATGATGATGGTGATGATTATAATACTAAAACTACTAATACTAATACTAATAATGATACCAGAAATTATGAGAATATAATACTAATAATGACATTGGTAATAATTACAATAAGTACAAGAATAATGGTAATGATAATGATATAACAATGATGATAATAGTTGTAATAGTAATGGATGGTAAGATTAATAATAACAATAATATGATAATAATAGTAATGATAGTATTGATAATGATAATAAGAACAATGATAATGATTATCATAGTAATAATAATGATAATAATGTTAATAATGGTGATGGAAATAATAAGATAATAGTAATGGTAATAGTAATAATGATAATGGCAATAATGCTGATAATGATAATATCAATAATGATAGCAATGATATAATGAAGATAATAATGATAACGATAACAATAATAATGATGATCATTATATAATGATGATGATAACAATAATATAATGATCATTATGATAATGATGATGATAACAATAATAATAATGATTATGATAATGATAATAATAACGGTAATGATGACATAATAGTGATAATAATGATGATAACAATTATAATGCATAGACAATAATTCAATAATAATGATAATGATAATAGTGATAATAATGATAGTAAATATAATTATGATGATAGATCAAGAACAGTAATAAGAAACCGCCATTGAATGTTATTAATGGTTTCCAAGTCAATGTGTCGCCATGTGCTGAACGAGGAATGTGTTCATTCTTTGCAGCATCACGGTGAAATCCATTTTCATTTGTTAAATTAGTTCTGTTCATAGAGCACTGGAATGTTTATTGTGTTTGTGTTTTTTTTCATGGACTTATCAGGGTATTTTTCTTTGTGCGCATGTTTGGTTTGTGTCTGTGTTTTTGTATATGCGTATTTGTATGTGTAAATGTACGTGTATTTTAGAATAAACGTATGTGTACGTGGGTATATAGCTGTGATGGATCATCTATTCATCTAACAATATGACCTGAGATGAAATACTGAAACTAATTCATCCATAGAGTTTAGATGTATACCTTTTATCTACTGTTACATCATTACCACAGCCAACCAAAATTGATAATGTGAAGACCCAGCATTGTATTTCGCTTTAGATTCCCATTGCTTCCTTCCCGTTGACAGGTGAGAGTGCAGGCCCTGGCTCCCCGCCCCAAGCCCGGACCAAAGCTTCGCCGCCCACAGCTGCCCCCGCCCAAACCCTACAGACCAGCCCTCCCGCCCACAAAGCCAGCCCGTCGCCCCCTCCCCCTCCACCTCCTCCTACCTCTCCACCACGCCCTCCATCCCCCACTCTGCCACCCACCGCACACACAACCCCGCCCACGACCACGCAGGACCCCTTGAGCGTGCACAACCTGGCCGGGCCGCCCTATTTCGACACCATCCCGCCCGAGGTGCTGCTCATGGACGAGACTGTCACCGTCCCCGCGCTGTCGTCGACGACCAGCGCCACCACGACCACCGTCCCGCCTTACATCGCGGTGAGGAAGTTGTTTGTGAGGCTTTTCCTTGTTCGTCGATAATGGCCATAGACGTCTATGTCCTTTTCTTTCCGCTATCCTTTAGCCTTCGCTGTGCTGTGATCGTAGACATTCGCATGGTTTGTACCTATTGACTTGCTTTTTGACTGATATCTTTGTTTTACTGATAGGACTGGCGGCCAGTGTCCACCTCCAGACCGAGACTGACTGAGACGACCCGCAGCACAGACGCCTCCTTCGACGGCCGACCTCCACACGACCAAGGCAGGGTCGAAGAAAAAGACACACACCACGACCTTCGCGAGCCCCATGTAGGTTCTCACTGGCACGAGGGATCCCAGCGGGACGTGGAGTCTCACCGCGATCTGTCCACGCACCACCAGGAGGATCCTCGAAAGGACAAGGACTCCAAGCAGGACACTCAGAGGGAGAAGGACGTCGGCGAATCTGACTGGAACAAAGGGATCGGCTGGGAGGTCATGGGAAACCTCGACTGGTACAATGAATGGACCAAGAACTGGAACAACAACTGGAACATCGACTGGAGTAACCGGTGGCTCACTGACCCGCCTCTCAAGGACACAGACGCCCCACTGAACACATTACCCACGGACCCACCGAAGAACTTCGCGGGCACGAGCAGCCCACGACCCACGTTCACGCCCACCAATCCCCCGAGCACATTCGCGCCATCAAACCCGCCACAGAGATTCGCGCCCACGAATGTTCCCCCGAGATTCACGCCCACAGATCAACCACAGACGAACATCCCGAAGAGAAATGATGGCTTTCAGAGGTACCCGAATGAGCCACCGAGAGATACCAGGTACCAAGGAAACTCTCCTGGCAATCGACGGTACCACGAGATACCACCAAGGAGCCCAAGTATTCCCAGTACCCCGTCAGGTAACAGGCATTACCAAGAAACGCCTCAGAGGGGCAACCCCCAGTTTTCCTCGCCAGGTGGTCGCGTGCCTCAGGAAATACCAAAGAGAGACACTGGTTACAAGGCAAACTTACCAGGCAACCGAGAATATCAGGAAACACCACAAAGAGACACCATTTACCCGAGCAGTCCACAAGGCAACCGGCCGCCGAAGGACATCCCGCAGAGGATTACCAGCTTCCAGCACGTCTCCCAGGGCATTCGCAGGTACTCCGAACCCCCGCAAAGAGGCCAGCGACCCAACCCGCAAGGGCCTTCCCACGTTCCGCCGCGACACAACGGCCATCAGGGAATCCACCCGGGACGCATCGAAGAGAACACCCGCAGGGTCTTCCACAGGCCATCCCAGAGGCAACAAGGATCCTCGGAGCATCCTACACAGACGAGACTTAGGGCAGTAGGGCCGCCACGACCTCCGCCAGCAGGGACCGGGAGTGGTGGTCTTTTGGCAGTCAGCGGACCGGCGAAAATCCGACCGGGTTACACACCGCGAAGGCCACAGCCACCGGGAACAGCGCCCCGTCTGCCTCCGAGGGTAAATGGCGTCTTATCATTGTCCCTTTGAAGAGACACGAAGATTCCTAGTTTTTTACATTTTCACATATCTTAGGCATTGTCTCCTGATAGAAATCCTCTCACTAGACTTCATTACAACCAATATAAAAGCACTGACAACGTGTCCTCTTTCGCGAAAATAAGTGCTTAATTATAGTGCTACTTAGAATACTTCCACTAACCTACGTTAAGGTATATTCCACTTTAATTCACAGCCTAATACACGATTGCTCGTCTGAAATTTGCATGACTGAACAAAGAATTAACTTTCGCGACCTTCTCCTCAGGTCCAGGGCTCCAGCAGGTTAGGGCGGCCGATGTTACATCAGCCAGCAGCCGCTTCGGCACCAGGTAAGACAGAGTAAGGAGAAGAATAAGAAAGAAAGAAAAGATAGACAGATGGATAGATAGAGAGAAGAGATAGATAGATAGAGAGAGACAGATATAGATAGAGGATATAGAGATAAATAGTTTAAGAGATACATAGATAGATAGGGAGAGAGAGAGAATGGATAGACAGATCGATAGATAGATAGACATATATATCTACACACAATATATAGAGATAATAGATAGATCTAGAGAGAGAGAGAGAGAGAGATTAGAGAGAGAGAGAGAGAGAGAGAGAGAGAGAGAGAGACTCCCCCGAGAGAGAGAGAGAGAAGAGACACCGACAGAGAAGGAAAGAACTGAAAAGACATTATACCTTATATTCTCTTTCAGAGCCAGCGTGGAGACCAAGACGAAGAATAATCAAGATATAAGTGTTGGCAATACTCACCTCAATTTTCTTCTGTCAATAAAAAAATGAACACTTCCTTTCATATAAGTAAGCAATGGAAAAAGAAAAACTGACCACAAATCATATCATATTGATATGTATATTGAACTGCAAGTCAATAGATTAGCGAATCTTAATCATGTATTCCGTCTTATGATTCATATTCCAATCTTACAAGAGCAGGGAGACATTGTGTAAATGTATGTTATTTATTTACTTCAGTCCAGGGATGAATTGTATAAACTTTTGTGACACGTTATTTGTTCGCTCTTGTTCAGGGATAAATCGTATAAACGTTTCTGATTAATGTTGTTTGTTGACTTTTGCTCATTTTGATATATATATACGAAAAATGTACATTCTAGAGAACCATTTTTTTGCTGATCTAAAAGACTTGCTTATTCCTTTGAAATGCAATAATATACATACAAATACACAATGACTAATGCGCACTTACACTCACGCACATACAAACACATCAGTACATATGCACATTCACAGACAGGCGTTCTTTAACACACAGATATGAAATGTAAAGTTAAGATGTATGTAATTTATATGTAATATAAATAAAAAATACAGGAATTCTTTCTTTCTATTTAACCTTTACTGCATATTGAAAAGAAAGGCGTTATTGTTACCCTGTCTCATTTTTATTTTATCCTCTCTCTCTCTCTCTCTCTCTCTCTCTCTCTCTCTCTCTCTCTCTCTCTCTCTCTCTCTCTCTCTCTCTCTCTCTCTCTCTCTCTCTCTCTCTCTCTCTCTCTCTCTCTCTCTCTCTCTCTCTCTCTCTCTCTCTCTCTCTCTCTCTCTCTCTCTCTCCTCTCTCTCTCCTCTCTTCTCTCTCTCTCTCTCTCTCTCTCTCTCTCTCTCTCTCTCTCTCTCTCTCTCTCTCTCTCTCTCTCTCTCTCTCTCTCTCTCTCTCTCTCTCTCTCTCTCTCTCCTTTCGCTTTCCTTTCCTCTTCCCCTCCCCTTCTCTCCCATCCTTTCCTTCTCTCGCTCTCTCCTCTTTCTCTTTCTCTTTTTCACCCTACTTCCCCATTCCTCTCCCATTTTCTCTCTCTCTTTCTCTCTTTTATCATCATCATCAGTATTATCATCATTATCGTTATCATTATTATTATCATTATCATTTTTGATCTCATTATTTCTATTATAATCATTACTATTGTTATAATCATTATTATTTTCATATTACCATTAGTATTATCATCATCATCATCATTGTTATCTTTAGTTTTTGTTACCACTTTTATCATTGTTTTTACAATCAGTTTTAATGTTTTCAGTCATTTTTTAAAATGATATTGGCATGAAATCATTATAATCATTTTCACTACTACTGTCATTATCATAAGAAATAGCACTAATTATACTGTTATTTATAATGTTATGATTACTGTTACGATAATGATAGAAAAAGACGTTACTGATCTTTACTGTACGATAATGATTTAAGAATTACCTTTACCATTATTGCCAACAACAATAATGATGATAATAACAATGATAAAAAAATCATAGTACCATTGTTGCATTAGCATTGTTGTTACGCTTATCATTATCGTCGATATTGTCTTTATCATTATTGTTAATATTATGGTCACCACCATCTTTGTCACTGTAAGCAGTACATCATCATTTTTTGTTATTATCAGCAGTATATCCATCATCACCCCATCATTATCATTATTGCTAAACTATCTGCAGGTAATGACTAATAATAATGAATAATAATAATAATAATAATAAAGACTAATAATGAGTATATCTGTTTTTTTTCATTCACTTATATCATTATATTGGTGGTACTCAGTATAGTATATCGTCTCATACTGTCAGCGTAAACTATATGTGCATTTTATTTGTATAACAGTCATTTGCTTCCATCACATATTTTAAAAGTTGTGTGTGTGTTTGTGTTTGTGTTTGTGTGTGTGTGTGTGTACGTGTGCACGTGTGTGTGTGTATTTTTATTTTTTTATGAAACACATTATACACACCGAATACGACAACTTATCACATTTCGAGTCAGCCTTGCTCCTCGCCAAACAAAAAACGAAATGAATCATCAAAATTCCTTTATTCTACAATGTTTCTCTTCATTATGTGAGTATGTGTATTAATGTTTTTTTTGTAGCTGTGAATGTTTGTTTTGAGTGTGGTGTGTGTTAGCGTGTGATTGCCTTACGAGTGTATTTATTAAACTTATGTGTGTCCGTTTGGGAAGGTTTCTAATGAAAATACTCGTGCAGTTGTAATTTTATTTCAATGTACATGTCACGTTACAAAATATCTAATTCACATATGTAAATCATGAACCAATTTTCTGAATATACTGGATTTTTAATCAAATTTTCTGAATTCATTGGATTTTTGGGGTATAAACATCAGTCTATTGTTTTTTTCGGTCTAAGAATTATAACAACATGTACAACGAAAGATACAGTGTACATCTCACAAACAAAAGGAAATCAAAACCGATAAAATAATTATTGCTTTGTTGTTGAACTACATCATAATAGATAAAAAATGCGATACCTAGACATTTGTTAAAAATGCCCAAAAAAAAAAAATGCATAGGATCAGCTTTAAGCCAGAAGTAATATCTAGAGTTAATTGCGATCAGAAAGGATCAATGCATTGTGTGAAGAGCAAAATAATAGACAATTTTAAAGAGAAAAGTGAGAAACGTGGGTATTTCTAGCGGGTCGTGCCGCGGGTGATCAGCTAGTGAAGCTTGCAGTCAAAACACGAGTGAGATCATCTTTTTCCAGATGATAACAGGTCTTGATCTATTCTTACAATGGTGATGCGTGTTAATTTGGATAAGACTGAAGCTCTCCCACCAACCCTGACTGCGACCATGCTCTCTCTCTCTCTCTCTCTCTCTCTCTCTCTCTCTCTCTCTCTCTCTCTCTCTCTCTCTCTCTCTCTCTCTCTCTCTCTCTCTCTCTCTCTCTCTCTCTCTCTCTCTCTCTCTCTCTCTCTCTCTCTCTCTCTCTCTCTCTCTCTCTCTCTCTCTCTCTCTCTCTCTCTCTCTCTCTCTCTCTCTCTCTCTCTCTCTCTCTCTCTCTCTCTCTCTTCTCTCTCTCTCTCTCTCCCTCTCCTCTCTCTCTCTCATCAAGACTCCTGCGAGACCCCTTTCCAACGAGACCGAGAGCGCTCCACAAGGGCTAGCTATGAGGCGAGCAGGACCTCTCTCAAGCATTCCTATTGACCTCCCTCGGCGGCTGTCGTCTGTCAAATATGAGGTTTGAATTTCTTGACGTAAGAACGAAGTGCAAAATATCTTGTCAGCCTCGACTCAAATCTTTATTCGCGAGCGTGTGTATAGACCAGGGGCGGCCAACCTTTTGCGAGATATGATCTACTTTTTGTAGTTACCCTGATGCGATCTACCAGTGTAAGATTCAAACATATTCCATAACAGTAACTGTAACAGGACTAGTCTGTCTTTATAAGTAATTGTATGTTGTTCAGACATGTCCATCATTATAAATATAAACATAACTTATTCCCAGAAAAAAAGAAATCTAATAATCCAAGTATCATGAGTACTTGGATATGCTATTGCAGCTATTTACATGACAACTTCTGACGGACGAATTATTAACAGGTACAGTAGTGTGATCGACTTAAAACAGGCTTGTGTTGTTGTTCTTGTTGTTGTTGGTTGGCCACGCTTATTAACAGGTACAGTAGTGTGATCGACTTAAAACAGGCTTATGATCGCGATCGACTGGTTGGCCGCCCCTGGCATAGACGAAGCAATCGATGCTGCTAGACGAACTACAGCATTGGATGAAAACAAAATTTCGCTAACGACAGATAACTGCGTCGCCCTCGTCAGCCTGAGGGTGGAGTTTGGCTCATCTTATTTCCTGGGACTGTGAGCAAGTTCAGGGACGTGTTGGCCTCAGCAGCCCTCCATGAAGACCCTCCTGACTGACTACCACCCGAAGGCCAACTGGACCAGCATGTCTGCAGTGTGGAAGATGGCATCGCCGTGTTGGGCATATTCGTGTGTTTTCCTGGTCTTCTCTTCCTTGTCCAATTTACATATTCAATTCATTTTTGTTTTTTGTTTTTATAAAAAAGAATAAACTTTTAAAAATGACTATTAAATCAGAAAACACAAAATCGATGAAAACATATCAACTTCAAATGGAAAGCTTGAATTTTTGCACAATAAAATAATAACCAACGATTTATCTTTAACAAACTAGCACACCTAAAAAATGAAAAGAAAATATCATTAAGCACATACATGAAACTTTATCAAAACAGAACAATCAATAACGTAGTTTTTAAAATTCAGATAGAAAGCTTGAATTTTCGCACAGCATAAAAATACTCAACGATATGCCATTCAACTCTTTAACTGCAAAACTGAAATGATGAAAAACCACAACTGTCAAAAAACGTGAAAAAAATTGATCAACGATAAACCTTTAATGAACAAAAAAATATCAACAACAACGAAATATTAAAAAAATCTTTTATACCTAAATAAACAAAAAATCTACAAAAGAAATGTTTTATACCTAAATAAACAAAAAAATTACAAAAGAATAGTCACAAAAATACTTTTAAAAAATGCGCAAAAAAACCATAAAAAAAACACATCAATCTGTAAGAAAAAGAAATCAAAATTTAACTTCACACACGAACTCCAGCAGTCTACCGCATCCAGTATCTCCGAGCTGAAAGAGTGACGTCATGAACACCATCCTGATGCATTCGTCGGGTTCTCCATTGGGGTCATGAATGGTCCAGAGGTCAGGGGTCACCGCAGTGCCGTTGAGCCACTTTAAGGCCTTGGCTCCGATCCATTTCTCTGAGAGATAAGATAAGATGTTCATTCAGTTATCCATTACTGCTTCTGCGTTTTTTTTTTTTTTTTTAATATTCAGTAATGATCATGATAATAATTCCCTGCCTTCTTTTTTTCTGTTTATAAACACACATACACAGATATATATATATACAAATACACAACACACACACACACACACACACACACACACACACACACACACACACACACACACACACACACACACACACATATATATATATATATATATATATATATATATATATATATATATATATACTGTGTGTGTGTGTGTGTGTGTGTGTGTTGTGTGTGTGTGTGTGTGTGTGTGTGTGTGTGTGTGTGTGTGTGTGTGTGTGTGTGTGTGTTACTATATATATATATATATATATATTATATATATATATATATATATTATATATATATATATGTATATATATGTATATATATATATATATATATATATATATATATATATATATTATATATATATATATATATATATATATATATATATATATATATATAAATATATATATATATATTATATATATATATATATATATATATATATATATATATTATATATATATATATATATAATATATATATATATATATATATATATATATATATATATATATATATATATATATATATATATATATATATATA